TGTGTGTAGACCTTCTGAGCATACTTATATCTCTTGCTTTAGTTTTTTTTTTCCTCTTTGGTTCTGTGCTTCCATTTGGAAGCCAGAGTGCTCATATGCTGTTTATCATGTTGAGTTTCTCCAAAGGAGCGTTTTGGGGACATTCTCCACCCAGTGAAGAGGTTGGGGTGTTTCAACCATGCCCACTCTCCCCACAAACCTGGAGGAGACATATGGCAGTGATGCTCAAACCATCAGAAATTGCACATCTTGTTGAGGAAACCCTTGCATGGGACTTTCCAGGAGCTCAGTTGATTGTGACATTCACCCTGAAGAGACTTTGGGGGAACTCCTTAATCCTTCTTGCTGCTTTGGGGGAATCTGTGCCCCTACCACCATTCTCTCTCTACTGCCCTGCCCCAGCTCACACATGGATAGTACTTTGGATAACAGTGGCTATCAGGGTCATAGTTTGTTGGCCTGATCCCATACTTTTCCTTCTGATATTCACTCCAAAGAAGAAAATCTACATGGTATGTATATGTGTGAGGGTGGGTCTCTGTAGAGGTGGGGCTTTAATTATTATTCTTGTTACTATTGGTGCTTATTTTCCCTGCTGTGTATGGGGGTGGAAGGGTGTGGGGTGTGATGGAATGTATATTCCTGCTGTGTATGGGGGTGGAAGGGTGTGGGGGGTGTTGGAATGTATACATAGGTCATGTTCAATAAAATGACTGGGGGACAAAGGGGAGAAATTTAGGAGCTATAGTACATCCCCATCCCAGGTGTAAGAGTTCTTACTCTCCCAGTGCAGAAGAGGGAGCATGGCCCCTGGCTGTGCCTGAGCTTTCCCTTCCCCATTCCTGAAACAGTCCTTGTGACCTCTCCAGTCCTAGTTCTGACCACTCCTAGCTCTCAATGACATCTGGATATTTCAGTGCTGCACTGCGTGTTTGTAACAACTTGTATTTTGCAGAATGCTAATAAACTTTTGGGTTCAAGAGGGACAACCCCCCCCCAGTTACTCAAGTGCATTTTCGTGGTTTGTTCCATGGCAGCATGCCTGGGCCCCACAATTGTTGGGTCTGCCATTGAAAAGAAACTGAGAAACCAAGAAGGTGTGTGCATGGAAGTGTGTGTGTGTGTGTGTTTGTGAGTGAAGGGGCACCCATCAGGGTTAACAAGCCAGAAGTGAAACTAAAAGTAGAGAAAACTTTAGTTCTTCAGCCAAGCTATGCCCTGCATTCCATTGAGGTACCATGTTGGTAAATTCTCGAGCACAACTTCCATAACCTGATTCCTGCCCCTGAAGTTATTTTTTAAACTATTTTATTTAACTGTATTTAGTTATTTATGTTTAATTTTGACCAGAGAGGGACAGAGTGAGTGAGAGAGAGAGAAAGAGAGAAGAGGAAAGAGAGAGAGGGAGGGGGAAACTGAGAAAACAAGCTGCCAGGTCTCGAACTGTGGTTGGCCATGTGGGAGTCCAGCACCCTCAACCACCATGCCACCTGCTGGCCCCAAGCCCCTTAAGTTCTTATGCACTGCCAGAAACTGGCTAGCACTTCTGAAATTAGTTTCAGTTCATGTCAGTGTGTTGCCCTTTCCATCA